AGTGTCTTAAGGAGAATGGCACTACTATGTATCTTTCTGCTTCGTATACTCCTCAACAAAACTCGGTTGCTGAACGTGGTAATCGTACTACTAGCGAGAAAGCTTGAGCTCTTATCAAACAAGCAAATCTTCCGGCTACTTACTGGGCTGAAGCTGTTTCAACTGCGGTATTTCTTGAGAATGTAACTCCGATGGAGAAACATAACAACAAAAGTCCTTACGAATTATGGCATGGCAGGCCTTTTGACTATTCTCGCCTTCATCCGTTTGGCTGTCGCGCCTACGTATTGATTCCCAAACATCTGCGTAATGGGAAATTTGGTGACACCATGGCCAAAGGCATCTTACTTGGGTTTCAGCTGGGTATGCGTAATTTTCGTGTACAACTTGAAGATGAATCAATAGTTTACAGTCATGATGTTACTTTTAACGATGAAGTTTTTCCTGGTCATCCGTCATCTGACCAAGAAGATGGGGATTTTTCAATTGAGGATGAAAACGACGATTTTGTTTCTTCCGATACCTATCATCCGTCGCAAGTCGTTCCTATCGAACCTGACCCTTTCACTCCACCTCAATCACCCGACGTTCCTACAACACCTTTCAACACTCCTTCATCTCCATCCATTGATAAAACTCAAGCTTTAGTTCGACGTCAAACTATTCCAGATGGTGATGATCGTACTTTAATTCGTCGCCAGATGGCGCCTCAAGACAACAATCCCTTTGCTGATCATGATAATATGGGTGATACCATCATGTTTCAACCTCGTCCTTCTTCTCCATCTGCTCCCGTTGTTCCTATGAAACATTCGTGGGATTGGCAGCCAGCTTCTGTTCCGGCAATTCACGACATTACAAGTACAATCAGTGAATCGAACATCTTACCTGAGGGGTCTAAGCGTCATCGTGCTCAATTGGCTCGCAGACTTCAACGTGAACGAATTTGCCTATCATCTGTGCGAAGATTGCGACGACTTCGTTCAGCTCGCCTTGCAAACTCGCCTTATCCTAGCAACTTAAAGGAAGCTATGGCTAGAGAAGATGCTTCCGATTGGACAGCAGCAATTCAGGCTGAGCTTAAAGGAATGGAGGATCTAAAAGTATGGGACATTGTCGATTTGCCATCTGACGCTCATGCAATTGGTACGACTTGGGTTTTCAAGAAAAAGTTCGGTGCCGATGGTGAACTTATCAAATACAAAGCCAGGCTTTGTGCTCAAGGATTTTCACAACAACCTGAAGACTATGGTGACACGTTTGCTCCGACAGGTCGAATACTTTCTCTACGAGCTTTAATGAATGTTGCTGCTGTTGAGGACCTGGATGTGCATGTCATGGACGTCAAACTGGCATTTCTCAATGGTATTCCTAAAGAAACCATTTATCTTCGTATTCCAAAGGGATCACTCATACCCGGGACAACAGAGAAGTCAGTCCTTCGTCTCAATAAATCCATCTACGGATTGAAACAGTCTCCTCGATGCTGGCACGATGTCATTAAAGAATTCTTCCTAAGTATTGATCTCACTCAGACACCCTCGGATCCTTGCGTCTTTGTTTCATCTGATCCTAAATGGAAGTGTTATGTTCATCTCCACGTCGACGATATGACAATCGCAAGTGACAACGTTCAACGCTTCAAAGACTTAATCAACAAATGATTTCAAATGGAAGATCTCGGTGAGGCGAAATTCATTCTCGGTATGAAGGTCACTAGAGATCGCAAAGCAAGAACTATTTCATTATCACAGCCTCAATATATCGAAAATCTCTTAGAAGAGTACGACATGGCTGAATGTAATCCTGTAGGCAGTCCTATGATTGACAACACGCATCTAGTTCCAGGCTCTGATCAGAGCAGGAAAGAATTCCTGGATTCAGGAGAGGATTACCGCCATGCTGTTGGTATGTTAATGTACTTGTCCTTGGCTACCAGACCGGATTTAGCTTTCGTCGTTTCTCAGCTATCTCAACATTTTGAAAGACCCGACATGGTTCATTGGCAGGCCTTCAAGAGAGTTTTAAGGTATTTGAAAGGTACTCAACATTACGGTTTAGTATTAGGAGGCAAGGATTTAGAGTTTCAAACTTACAGTGACTCAGATTTCGCCGGATGTCCTTATACCAGACGCTCAACGACTGGCATGATCTCACAATTACACTACGCCAGATTTCAAATTTACCGCTGAGTTTAGAAAATCAATAAGACATAGAAAATTATACACAAGGTGGAAGGGGTCAAAAAATATGGAAAAATAAGGGTTGCATTCCCCTGTGTGTGCCCATCATTTTGCATATTTTTACAGATTTTTACGGCAGCAGTGTATATCAGGCCAGAAACTCAGTTTATGTCCCAAACTGGCAGTCATGGAGGCATTAACCTTGTGATACCAATAAAATTGTGAATTTTGTGTCAACATCTGGAATGTCTGCCCATCCTGAAAGCTACATGTTTAATTTACCAGATACACATTAGAATGAGTGGTGTGTGTCCAAAAATGAAGAAGGTACAGCAATCACTGTCCCCAACAGCAAAGCTAGAAAAGCTTATAAATCTGTTCTGCAAGGGTTTTAGCATCCAAATGGAAACTGTAGATCCAGTATGTGGCTTTCATAATGTGCAACTCCCAAATTGATCAAAAGAAAATAGTTGTATTTGTGAGTGTTGAAAACTTTCTGCCCAAGCCTGGGTAGTTTTGGACAAAATTTGAGTTTCTGACCAAATACACCCCAAAATCATTTTTCTATGGAACGACTTCAAAACTCAAGGTAAAAATATGAAAAAATATGCAAAATGATGGGAAATCACAGACTGATTCAACCATAATTTTTTCAAATTTTTCCTACATCTCATGCATTGCTGAGAATTTTCTACATCTTGACTTTTCTAAACTCCATGGTAAATTATTGATTTGGTGTAGTGTTAGGATCTGGATGCGTTAACTGGAGATCTAAAAAACAAGAAAGTGTTGCCGGATCCTCAACCGAAGCAGAGTATCGGGCAATGTACGAAGGTGGTCAAGACTTAAGATGGTTTACTCAGTTTATGAAGGATATCAATAAACCTTTGAATATTGTACCAACGTTACTAGCTGACAATCAAGGTGCTATGGGTTTGTCAAAGAATGCACAATTTCAAAATAGGACTAGGCATATAGATGTTAAGTATCATTGGTTGCGTGAACATATCGAAAATAATCATTTTAAAGTCAAATTCATTCCTACTGCAGATATGCTAGCAGATATGTTTACAAAATCTTTACCACCTTACAAGCACAAAGATTTTTGTAAAAGAATAAATCTGTTAGATTTAGAGAACCGGGGAGGGAATTGAAGTTAAAAACTTATCTATATATTTGGGGTTATCTAATCTCTTATTTATTCTTACTAGATTCTTTTCTCGTCTCATATGCTATGATATCATCTTTCTTATTCTCTTATTCATGATGTCATTGCTGTGAATGCTATTAGTAATCTGACCGTATCTTGTGATGTCTTCGGTATATATAAAGAGTGCTTCACTACCTATTGTATTTTCTCTTTTCCTTACCGATTCTACTCATCACTTCGAGCAGGTATTGTTCTGCTCTTTATCGGTCACTGAGATATAACTATCTCCTACTAGTTACTAACTAGCATTCCCTAACAGGTTATTATTCTTCTTATTATTGTTTCCATTCTTGTGCTGTGTGTTAATAATAATCTTACCGATTCTACTCATCACTTCGAGCAGGTATTGTTCTGCTCTTTATCGGTCACTGAGATATAACTATCTCCTACTAGTTACTAACTAGCATTCCCTAACAGGTTTGCTCATAAGTCTCATAGCCATCTCGCAATTACCTGCCAGGGTTGACCATGGGTATCCCCAATTTGGCAGGTCTTGGGGCTCATCCTGAGCCTTGCCCCAGCCTCACCAAGTGAGGCCTTGGCCTCCTACTTAGTCGCATGGCCATTCATCAAATGATGTAAGTGAATCAACATTTTGCCTTCTTTAGCCTTCATATAAATATATGTTATCTGTCAACAAGCGCGGTTAAACACACGACAAGTGATCTCCCATTTGAGTTTGGACCGTAGTGTATGTTGTGGAGCTCTAAATTGCATGTGGAGTTCAACTTTATTCCAGTAGAAAAAACAAAAAAGTATCAACAAGTTCGGAATTGGGGGCTCGCATGGAGCATAGATCAATCGGGCTTTTCCTTATCTTTGGTGTCTCCCACCATAGCGGCCGGAAAGCTTCACAGTGCTTCGACAATTCCAGATCTCGACAATTCTGCTCATCGCCCTGGTAAAGATGTGAATCGTAATGAGGGCTACAATTGGGTCAAGCGTATTGAACTTCAGTGATAGTTCTACAAAGAATATCCATTTTTAATAATCAGTTGAACTCAATTTGCTCGAACGGGAATAGATTTTATTCCCTTGCAAGATTTAACGAATTTCTTCAAAGGATATCGCGCGCTCGGTTACATTTGGAAAAGGAACCAAGTCACTTTGTGATCAAAACTCTCACCATCGTCATCATCTGCTTGTACTCTCGTCTAAGCTCGTCTACTATCGTGAGCTCTCGTGTCATTTCTTGTAAGCAACAGCAACCAGAGATTTTCGCGTAGCTTCGCGTGATCATCCTTCAACTCTCCTGTCTATTTTCCTCTAGTTGGAACTTGGTGGCCTAGAGTAGAACAAAAGAACCTCATGAACTTTTTCCCCTTGGCTCATGATCAAGTTTTAAAACTCAATAATCAAATCTACTATCGGTCTTAGGACACGACCCACTGGTTTCTTGCTGCCTTAACTCGCTTTGGCTGAAACAACTACTCTTCGACTCTCACTAGAAAATATCCTTCATCAGTCTTGGGTATATATATAACATACACATATCCCTTCGTGACTGGCTATCTGAATTTTTCCTTTACCCTGACTTATATAAATTATTCTTCAGTCTTCAATAAAAAAATTACACCTACTCTGTACCTGGTTTTCGAGAAATCAAGATGCGAGGAAACCAAGATTACGTCCCATCGGTTCTTCACCTGGAACCTAATGGACCTTCTGGCTTAGACTCTGTGGACGTTTATCTTGATTCATTGGATGATTCAGATGTATCTTTGTGAGTTCGCCTATACACCCTTCAATCAATCTCGTATTGTGATATTCACCTATAGCTGTGATATGTGATCCTTATGCACCAACAGTGAAAATTTTGAAGGTCCTGAAGGTCCTGAAGGTCTTTATACTATCGATGAAATGGTATCTGAGGAAGAGGCTGGTGATGATCTTGATCAGAATGTCTCCGAAGACCAACCTGGCCAGGAACATGAAGGCCTATTCGACTTCGATTGGATTGATAATTCTTTAGAGTTCGTCACCATCACCATTCCTTTATAAAATCAATTCATTTTATTCTAGCGAATATTTCGTTTCTGACTCGTTCATAAATTGAATCAATCATAGTCAAATCTTGGAAATAAGATCGAATTTATTGGAACAACGAAATTTCAATCGAAGCAAAAGGATAGAATTAGATTTAATTGGTCAAGACCTAGAAAATCTAAAGACTCATCGGATTAATGATGAAGATATGATATCAAATGGTGAAGAGCATCTGTGAGGAATATGTTCTAATTTCGATCATCAACATCGATCATCGATCAAAGTTAAACTAATCTGTCTGGTATCTCGTGTACTTGATTATAGATCAAAAACTTCCTCAGGAAAATGCACATCAACACATTCAAAAAACGATACTTCACCGCAAAAACTCACTGAATTGCAATTCATCGCAGCACAAAGCGGCGAAGTGAAAGTCACTAGGAAACCTGCACCAACACTCAGCCCAAGAAGTTTGATCTTTGCGCCTCATTTACCTACCACCTTAAATGTTTCTTTTCAAAATGTCAGACCTGATGTTACTGCACCAATTGAGGACGAAGAGACAGAGGTGATCCCAGATCCCACCTTGAATCTCCGTTCACCCAAAGCATCATGTTCATCCAAAACAGCAACTTCACCTCAAACATCAAGTTCCCCTGTAACCTCAAATTCACGTAAACAATCAATCCAATCCGATCATTCAAGTCTACTTTACGAAGACTTTAATCTCCAGACACTCGAAATCGGGAATCCTAAATTTGATTCAATTAGAAAATCAATCAGAAAAAGCTTATCAACACCTGCATCTAGGAAGACTTTACTTAACAAAGACTCGGAATTATTTGATTTGGGTTGGGATCAATTAGAAGATATTTTAGAAAATTTAAATCAACTTGAAAATATACCTTCTTTAGATTGGACTTATACTTCTAAGATTGATTTAATTAAAGTGAAGATTTTGGAAAGAAAGAGAAGTCAATTGCGAAGAGGAAATGGTGCTTCAAAGCCAAAGTTTAGAAATATATAAATACTCTTTTAATTCACAAGAGAAGTCAATTGAGAAGAGAAAATGGTGCTTCAAAGCCGAAGTTTAGAAATATATAAATCTCTTTTAATTTACTTTATTTGTTACTATCATTGAGCTTTTTTGATTCTCAGCCTGTAGATAAATCGGGACTTACATCTTTTGATTGCTTTGGTTCCTCACCATTTGTGGATAGACGAACTCATCATCTCTTGATTTTTTCATTATCTTAGATAGGTACTATAGTTTGTTCATAATATTTAAATGTAATTTTTTGAACAAATTGCAACGTTTATATATGTGGTTCTTTTGATTACTTTTGTTTCTCGCCATTTGTGCATAGATGAACCCATATTTTCTTGATTGTTTTTATTATCTTAGATAGGTATTATAGTTTGTTCATAAGATTCAAATGTAATTTTTTGATCAAATTTTGATATTTTCTTTTCATTCATTTCTTTCCTCATCTTGATTAAAATTCTTCAACGTTTCCAAATATCAATCATTCTTTATCATTAATGTTTTTTAGAAAAATTTCAAAGTCATCACAACATTGTAGCTTTAGCCATTGAAAATTGATTGCTTTTCTTGAACGGGACAATCTCAACAAAAGATCTATATACTTAAACTAGATATTAGGCGGCCAGCCGCCACACTGTATAGCATCCTATTGATGCATGTAACCTTGGTGTGTGTGTTTGGTTTGTTAGAAATTCCACCCATTGAAACAATCAATGATCTGCAATGTTTTTGCTTGTCACTTCTTTAGTCCTGTATTTTGTCAATCTCACTCTTTGAATAGGTCTAATACCACAACTTATGGTCATATTTGATCCACAATGTTGTGTTTTATCCTTCAGCTGCTGTTTGTTTATCTTAGAATGGTCATTGATTACTGCTACATCTGGAATTATATCCTATATGACTCAATTCTACAGCACAACATAGCAATACCCTTGAGATTGACTTTCAACTTAAAATCATATATGCAGCATCTTGTTTTCGACCAGCAAGGGCATCTGTAGGAAGATCAACACGCAAGCAACAAAGATCAAAAAGCAACAAAGATCAAAGTTTGTACATACATTTCCTGGAAGTGTCAAGACATGTCAGGATTGAATTGACTTTGGGTCTCTTGTTGTCAGAGAATCTTGTCACTCATCTCATCCACAGATACTATGGGATTCCTCACCAGCCCTTGTGGGCTATCCAGCAGCCCGCCCCCGGCTTTCCGCTGGGGGATGTGGTGAGTTGACAAAAAAAAGGCAAAAAAATGAATTTGCCATCACAAACATTGAATTTTGAGTTCCATAATGGAATATTCTATTCTCAAATGATTGTAAAACTATAGCACAAAGAGGAAGTGTGGAGTGTATCTCTGACCTCATCTTCAAAGAGACACAAGGTGTGCGCAGGATCTTCCTTCAGAACATTATTGAGGTTCAGTCACATAAACTGAGTAGGTTTATATTCATTACTTAAATACGCCTTTGGTGCATGAGAAATTCTTCATCCTCTGCCTGCTTTTTCCTTTCATGTTCTCATCATTTTTTCATCTTCTGTATTTATAAAACAGCCAAAAGGAAATAGGAAGATTAAATTACAACTTATATTGACCAAAGCTATTTGCCAACACAAAATGAAAACTGTGAAATTCAACTGCTCAGCATCAGCTCAGGTCTGTGCTGCCTCCCAACTGTCCCCCTTGACTTAACACATCCAGCAAAGACGTTACCATTACGTTGCTTGGGGTTGTGTTGCACGTTGCTTGGCGTTGATTGATTTGGCTGGATTTCTTTGCTGGTGAACCGTGATTGAGGCAAGGGATGCTGGGCAGTGAGCAACTGCTGATCATGAACTGGCATACCCCAAGTTGGCCGGCCCGGCCCATTGCCAAGTTGTGTAGCTGGCAACGGCACCACACCACACCACAACACAATGACAGAAGATCCTGCCCCAAGGGGCAATGCATTGCGCAATTGCCTGCCCGTTTCTTTGTGGTGCATTGCTCACGTGTGACCATTGCAGTGTGTTGCTTGACATTGCGCGCCCCTAGCAACACACCGGTCCAACATTGCTGTGGGTCAAGGATCCACAGATGACTCTAAAATTTGTCTGTAAATGTCCTCTGCTTTTGCATCAAGGGGTATTTGTTGGGACAGAAAAATCTAAGACAGTTGGTCAACACACAACACCAAAGAAAAGGACTTGATACTAAACACTTAAAATCAAGCTACACTTAATATATGACTTGTGTTCATCTTTTCTCTCAACTGGTTCTTTAGATATTTTGGGGCTGATTGTTCAGCCTCTATCCTTTGAAACCAGGTATGATTTACAGTTTCTTTCATTATTTATCTTTATCTTTTCTCATTAGTGTTGTAGTGCTTGTAGAGAGATATTGGGACTGGTTGTTCACCCTCTATCCTTCTGAGCCAGATGTGTCCTTTCAGGTTTAGTGATATAAGATCAGATCTCTTGGGTTCTAGAAAACCCCTTGCTGTAGTGTCCTGTCCAAAGTCTCCAGTGAAGGTTCTATTCAAACGTTACAAAAACACACATATCAATGTATCAATTTATGAGCAGATACGGCTCACTTCTCACACCCAAAATCTGTTTTACATGTCAACTTCCAAACAGGTAGATTTATCTTATAAGGTCCATATGCACTTTGTGATGACAAATTACATCCTGGTTTGCATGTGGGGCACAGAAGCCTGTTGATTCAGTACAATCATAAGGGAATTCATCACACAACAAAGAGCTTGTATTTGTCTTGACCAATCCATATAAATAATGCACTCCTGTATTTGAAGGAGAATCATAGATTTCAAACAGGGAATGAGTTTGATATCAATCAGGATACATTATTTTATGCAGATATGAGATGATTTAGATTCCATATACCTGAGATTACAGATCACTTAGTCTTGAAGTGCAATTAGTTGTTTGCTCATTCCATGTCACTTAACCTGATGGCTAAGGATTGGATATTCATATCTTGTGTCATTTGGTGTGAAATTGATTGAAATTGACATTGAATCTGAATGATATCAGTGGAACCACAGGCCAAATTATTTTTGTTTCATCATACATCCAGACAGGATGGATCATTAAAAGATCAAAGTGTTGGTTGACAAATGTAACAAATATCCTCAATCAAATTATGTCTGAGGCTTCATTTGGAATCACACCGAGGTGTTTAGGCATATAGCTGGGATATGTTGTGTTTGGGTTTGAAGATTCAGAAAAAAAAGACAGAGACAACTGCAACATATGAAACAAACTGACATGTCTTTTCAGCATCCAGATATGCTAACAGGTTTGAAGGTGGGTTACAACCAACTTTATTAAATGAGTGCTGGTAACTCAGCCACCTGATGATTAGATTTCAAAAAACAAATGATTCAACTCTTTGAAGGTGTAAGGTCATGTTATAGATGAAAACAGTTATTAGTTAGGTTGTTGATGACTGAGTTTGATTGTTTTATAGCCAATGAGACTGGTATTTTCCAAATCAAAATGTGGTCAATCTGAGAAATAAAAAAGATCTGAAGTGATTCATTTTGTGTATATTTCAGATGGATTCACAAACTTATGTGACATGTATCATCTCCTTAACTCAAGCTGAGCCTTAATTCAATTTCCAACATTATTGATTGAGCAATTCATAGGATTTTCTTGATTTTGATGGTTTTCCCATTGATATATTTATGACTACTGACTGATGGAATGGCTTGTTGCCATTTGAAGGTTGTGTTTGGAATCTCATGAAACTCTTGGATCCAAGCGTGATAATTATAGCTATGGTAACACTTTTGGAAGTAATATTGTCTTTAATCAATGTTGCTTTGTGGATAAAGGTCAGTATCAAATTTTAACAAACTCAATGGAAGTCCAATGATTTAAACAATCTGGTTCAATCTTAAAGATGGGTATGAGTTCTCAATATTGGAATTGATAGTGGAACTCCGTGCTAGTCTTGAGATGAGTAAATTGTTGATTAAGCAAGGAGAGATGAGAGTAGTGCGAGTTATTGAAAAATGAATTCTAAAATTGACTTGATTGATCACGTTCCCAGTGATATTGTCACTTTCAACGTACTGAGGTTTTGTAATTTGAATCAATTTTAAACTCCTCTTAAGACCTTTGCTTGTGTTGAGTTAAGAATACCCTCCAAAATCAAATAAAGAGATTCCTGAACAAATCAAACTGTGTTGATGAAGGATTTGTTAATTTGCAAAATTGAATCAATTTTCCAATCATTTATTGAGCGGTCTTTATTTACAATATCTGGGTTGGGTCTTGACTGATACTGTAAGTGTCGTTCTAATCCCTCCAGATCATCTACTCTTCTATGAGTCTGAAACCTATGTCTTCTGCTTGACATAGAATAAGGAACTTAAATCTACAGCCATGAAATCTTTAAATAATCTATACTCTAATGAAGATAACCTAGGACCAATGCAACACTTCACCACCCAATTCCAATCAAGATCTTCAGAGATTGCAATATAGAAATTGCAATAGGAGAACCTGAAATTAATACAAGATGTTTAGTCATTGAAATCTTAACAATTGTAGATTTACATGGAGGAATTTTAGAAAGTTTACAAAAAAATTAGTTAATGGAATTAACCTTTGATCAATAAAAAACTCCTTGAAGAAAAATATTACAATATAAGTTTTTAAAACATTTGTTTTTTTGGAAAACAAGAGGAAAGTTACAAAACTAAGGAGAAACAACATGATTTTTTTGACAATTATAAAAAAATGCAAAAGACATAATAGCAATTGTTCCAAAGTTTAAATCTAACAAATTAACATCTTTGTCATCCCCGTTGAATTTGATTGTTTGTTTCATTTCTTCTATTTCATCATCAAAATCTTCAATTTCAAATTTGCCCACATGGACCTGAGCATGTAGTTCTTGAATGTAGGAAACAATGGAAGCTTAGGAGCTAATTATGTAGGATGCCGTGCAGAAATATGTGCATGGGAAGTAAAAGTGAGTCTGTACTTTGTACCTATGGTCCAAAACATCACCACCTATCACTGGTATGTAGTTGTTCAGGTGATGCATGTACATTTGATGAACAGCTGGTGGAAGGTACAAAGAAGCAGAAGACAGAGGCATTTGCCAGCCCTGAGGGGGGGCAAAGTTTGAGACCAGTATAGCACATGCAATGAATCATAGTGAAGTGTGTCTGTTTGTGTGTAACAAGCCATCTATAGTGTAATAATAATGTCATGAGTTGTACATGTGCCATGAATTTGAGTTCTCCAGTATTGCAATGCAGCACATGTATGTGAGACATGAGCAATTTCAGGAAAAAGATACGGTCAAAGACCAACAGGCGGCACAGCGGAGCAATAACTTGTACCTGTAAACCCTTCCGATATCTGCGGCTTCATTTCACATCTGCTGTTATCTAAGTAACCCATAGATAATGTCTTGATGATGTAATCTTTTTCTCATCACGCTTGGGTTTGTATTTTGTGATGTTGAAAGGTCTTATGCTTTGTCTTGCACAAGCTTTCACATGGAAGTGGTTCCTGTAATAAGCACAGTAATCGGTTCACAAGCTTACAAGTAAAGGTTTGCAGTGAGGCTTGACAGCCTGAATTATTGCATTGAGCGTGATTCTGTGAGAGTCCAAAGTACAATGGAACAAAAGTGGGCTATGAGGTCAATGAAAGCATGGTGATGATGAAAATACGGCCCTGGAACAGTGCCCCGTGGTGTTGCCTCTAAAGGAACGTGATGCGGTGATAATTCCCATGCAGAGTTTGTTTAAGGAGATAGTGAACATGGAATCACCAAGGCGGCGCCCGCCGCGGAGAATGCTATTGCTGCGAATAAAGGGAGTTGGTGTGCGCTCGTCGACTAGCAAAGCCTACACAGACACGGTGAATGTATTTCACAATTGGTTGTTCATGGAGCGGTTTTGATCATGAATACTTTGATTGATGTTTCACTTTATGCAGATTGAAATTGAACCCAAACAATCAATCAATTTTGGCTTGTTTCAAGCCAAAATTCATCAAGATCTCATCAATGTTCAAGCCCAGACTCGTAGCATCCTGAAGAACAAGATCAAAGAAATCAAAGTTGAGATTAAAAGAGAGCTATCCAAAATCAAAAGCAAGTTGTCTGGAAAACTACAACACCAAACTAATTCATCTGAGAACCCGCAGGGATATTCTCATAATCAGAGCTCTTCTTCCAAAGAACTTGAAGAATGGACACCATCAAAGCCGTTCAAAGTAAGTCCCCTTCTCCCTGATCAACAAACTATATGTGATACATATTGACACAACCTCAACATACCAGGATTTTGTTTGTGGAATGGCATCCAAACACGTCATTGAGACGCATGTTGAGGCCTACACTGCAATTTTTGGACCCAATACTAAGAAGCCACTTGAAAATAGTCTTTATAAACTGATAAAGGAAAGTTCAATCAGCTAATTCAAACACTATTCTATATTGTTCTGAATCCAATTAGCATTTATTCAGAAATCAATTGGAAAGCAAGGTCTGGATTGGAGTTCAAAATATCTCCCCAAGAAGGTTCAAAATGTGGTTCTTGCACCCAATGCACAGAATGTTTCTGGCTACATCAAAGACAAGGCTAAACATGCACGAGAAAACTTACATCTGGTAGTGAGTCACTTTTATTTTATCTGATTCCTACTTACTGTGTTAGCACATTATTGTACTCACTTAATCCATGTTTTAGCTCTTGACTGGTGTTAAAACTCCTTGTAAAAGTGGAGAACCTACCCCCGCAATTCCGGACCTTTGTGAACTGATTGACTCAGTGGGTACTAATCCTTCATTCTAATCTACAACTATGTGCTTATGAGGTGAAAATTGGAGATCTCCGCAATATGTAAAACACTAGAAGGCAATTATCAGACCGCACGGAAACGTTACAAGGGAACAAAGATTCTTGCACGTGCAAGATATGCCTACTTGGTACGTATATACATAGATTTCCTACCTAGCAATTCATTGCTGATTTACTTGTTGATTATTAGTGGCGCAAAAGCCTTCGGATATACAAATTAGAGGCTAATGGCTTCTCAAAATTGATTTGGGAAGCAGTAGATGATCAACTGGCCAAGCTACGCCAGGAAGGAAAAAAATACACCACATGGTGAGTACATATCCAAGTCTTCAATCAAACTATCAATATTGATCGTTTGATTTCCTCTTGACTCTGCAATTCAGTTTTTACAATATCATCTATAAATAAGATCATGAAATGTTTGATGGTGGAAAACAGATGTACAAGGCTTTCCCTGAAGATAAGACATTTGAAATGCATTCAGACAACACCATCAAAGCCAAAGTTCATGAGCCTAGGATCTCAAAAAAATGAACACTCCTCACAAAAAACATGAGCATATTATTAGTTCTCTAAATGGTGAAGTTGTTAGGTAAAACTATCGAATATCAAAGAATCTGAACAGATTTAATCTATTTGTAACATTGAGCAATTTATATATTTGTTTCATTCATTGTGTCATTCAATTTGTCTATTCCATTTTGTCTTTTTTGTCCTGTATGTATCAACTCCAATTCTACACATATTATCCACCTCCATATTATGCAATATTTAGACTGTAATTAAGAATGTTTTCCAAATAGTCATATTAGCTTATGTGAGGCGCTTCATATTAGCTGGCCCTATGTAAGCAACCAGCATGAATTTCAAAATCAGGCCACTCCTTTTTCAGGATGTGTGCGGCTTGGGTCTAGGCTGGCTGCAGACTGACTGTAACATGCAGTCTGCAGACAGCCTCTACTAGCAGACCGTCTTCAGGCCAGATCTTAGGCTGCGCGCAGACTGCATGTCACAGTCAGTCTGCAGCCAGTCGCGTCCACTGACCTGCTGCAGACGGAATGTCCGCATAGCAAAAATGAATGACCTCAGTCGGTGTCAAGTGCCCGCCTGAGGACTGTCCAAACCTTCCCGTGGTGTATGGACTTGCGTTTGTAAGTTGTTTTGTGGGAGGTTCCAGACTTCTTTGGTGGTGGTTGTTTGATGGGTTCACGCTTGCCTGTAGGCATGGTGAAGTCTATGTGAAGTAGGAGATTGGTGATGGAGCTGGTTGACAAACGGTGTAGCTTACGTACAGTGGTCAGTTGGGGAACTGTTGGAAAGCCAGTGTACACATGGTGAGGTTGGTGAGGTGGTTTGCTTGTGGTACGGTTATGGTAAGCTTACCACATGTGGTGGATTTACTGGTGGAGTGGTGAGCCTGGTAGGGTGGTGGTGAGGTTTAGCTACTTAGGCTGTTGATGGACTTGGATGAAAAAAAAATCACAAAAAGTTCTAACTTGAGATCTAAAACTATATCTAGGCGCAGAAACAGAACACATCTGACAGTACAACTTTCTCTATCTTTGGAAACTATTGGTCAAAATGGAAAGACCAGAGTAGCTAAACCTGACTGAACTCCAAAAGTATGATAAAGATAACTACAATCAGCCTGGGAAATACACTTCCATCTCACTGAAAGATATTCATCTCTCTATCATCATCTTGCTCACTCCTGCCTCCCTCCAAACCTTTTGTAAGAAATTATAAAAAGCCTGACAATCTGAAAACCTGGCATCTTTGCTCATTCGAAATTGCCAAAATAATTGGACATTTCTCTTTATCAGGAGTTTGGCATTGGCTTCACTTTCACTCATTTTCTGTATCTTCAGTCACACATCAAGACTAGAAGACATCTCAATTCTTTTTAGTCTTGCCTCTTCAATGTCACGTAGTAGGCGCAACTTTTCAAAAGTGGAGCGCCCTACGCGCAACTGGCTAGGGCACTGCCAGTTTGGCTGGTGGCACAAAGGATGCAAAAGCTCCTTTCAAAAGGGCATCACTGAATTCAAACCTACACTTCATCCTAGTCTTCTTAAACCACAAAACCCTACAAACTTACCAAACGTGCCTGACAAAAAAGTAGCTGATGTGCCTTTGATGGCAGAAGAAAAGGATGCTTTAGACCAAATAAAAGATCATCACAAGCTTGTCAAACACTACAAAATTCAAACAACTTGCTGGATATGGGTTTAATTTTTGGGACTGGCAAGGAGAGACCACATGTGCTATTTACATGACTACCACAATCAGTGACTATTGGGACCGCCCATTTTGCCTCTCAGCCATTGTCCCAAACTCGAACCAACCCGAGATGCTGTTGCCTTAATTGAAGGAACAATTGATCCAGCTGCCGGGTCCATCCTTTCTTTCATTGAAGGAACAATTGATCCAGCTTGCGGTTCCATCCTTGCTTTCATCAATTTGCAGATCTTTACCTTGCCCCCTTGTTTCTCCAGAGTCATCACCACGATGAATTTGTCTACCCTATCCTGCCCCTGGAGGTTTTGAGACATTTCACCATGACATCCAACCTCAACTATGTCGTCTGATAGTTGATAGCACCTCACTGAAATTTATTTCACATTATATTTGAATAATTTGCACAAGGAAGGTTATCCAAAAGTCAGAATCACTGCAAGTAGTATTGTAAAAGATCCAAGGCACAAAGAAAACTCTGGAGCATACATGTATCAATTTTTGTGTTGCAGTTTGTTCCCATGTGACTCATCAAAGATTGCATATGCTGGCGAATACCTTACAGAAGATGATGGTTATGAAATATGAAGGATGTAAGAAAATTGTACACCACACTTTTACATTTTGAGTGGAACTTGAGTTACCTTCTCCCTGCGAAGTCTGTCCCCAGAACATGAGCACACCTTGTGGATGGAACTGGCTGATTGTGTTTGTTATGTCTTTGCTATCCAAATATGTGAAGAATTTTTCAACAGAGTTCTTGATTTCGTCTTCCTTCACCGCTGGTAGAAAGATGATTCAAGCTATGAGACTTGAGCAGAAACGTCCATTCATTGCAATAGTGACTCACGCAACTGGCCAAGATAGTCCTTGACATCGGCGCCAGTCATTTCTAAAAGAAACAGTAACCAAGCTATGAGTCTGGAGCAACAGCGTTCATTTGTTGCAATTGCAACTCACCCCTCACTTCAGTGATTGCGTGTATGAAGTTGAACTGATCATTCCATTGGAACGCCCAGGTCAAAAAAGGACATGCTAGAAAAAGAACGGCAATAACTGTAGTTGATAGCCCAAAAATTCTGGTCATGATTATGCTAGCCTAGGTGATGATTAAATCTGTTTTAGCTGAATTGAAGATGAGTATCAGATGAGGACTACCAATGATGAGCCAATGAACTTTTTCCTTTTATATTGACAAGAAAAGTCATCACCATTGGACCTCATACTGGGAGGGATCATTACAAGTTGAAGCTGTGCTTCAGACTGAGTTGAGTGGTGCATCCAACAATCCATCAATGTTTGAAGATGATAACTTATACGTACAAATCACTGCGCTGGATGCCTTAAGGCTGCGATTTCTGAAGACAGCTGCGGTACATGTCTCATTTACAATGTGGATGTTCTAACTTGCTAAAAGATTGAACCAGAAGTCAAAAAAAAATATAAAAAGATGTAGGATCAAATTACCTTACACCGTATCAGCCAACTTCATGCAAGTCATAAACAAATCCTCAGCTCAATTCATATCTTGCCTTGACAAGTGCCAGGCAACAGCACTCAAGCCTTTCCTGATATATATGACACAATCTCATCAGCACGACACCAGCTACACCATGTATCAAATTGCAATAGGCTATAGCTAGTGTGTTTTCCATGTACAGTCCCCTCCAAGTGGTTTACGTAATCATTCAGGTTCTGCAGCGGCGGGGCCGGGGCTTGTTGCAAACCCAATGATTACAAATCCTAGGCGTGGGGACGTGTACATATGACCTCAAAAAGTGTTCTATTGCGACACACAGCCCCACTTTAATTACTAAAATATATCCTTGAATCTCTACAGTGGAGCATTTGATAACATCTTGTGTTGGATTGACACTTAGTATATTTCCTGAAAAATGTTTTCTCATGCTTCGCTTCAGACCTGGCTGCACATTTCTCGGATATCCTTATTTGTATATTGAAACCTCAAATCTTTGATTCATGAACACTCCCTTCCCCACCTTCTTTGACATTTCAGATGTGTACATGCTTCCCCACCTTTTTGAAACTTGCCACCATACTCTATTGATTGGTCTTAGCTAGTAACCCTGTTTCCACGGCATATATGACCACATCAAGAATTAGTGTACACAAAGGCTTGGAACTGGTCTGTGAGGTGAGTGAGCCTCATGGGAGACCTGAGTGAGACTCATGTGTGACCACCTGAGTGGGACTCACAGATGACCGGAGTGGCACACATGTGTGTGGTGACCTGAGTTAGACTCATGCAGGACCTGAGTGAGACTCATGTGTGACCACCTGAGTGGGACTCACAGATGACCGGAGTGGCACACATGTGTGTGGTGACCTGAGTTAGACTCATGCGGGACCTGAGTGAGACTCATGTGTGACCACCTGAGTGAGACTGATGTGTGACCGGATTGAGGCTCATGTTTGACCAGGATTGAATGAGGGAGTAACTCATGTACACACAGGCTTAGCCACTGGTGTTTAGTGCGGGCACAGGCTTAACCATTGGTGTTGAGTGTGGGCGCAGGCTTAACCACTGGTGTATATGTTGCTTGTTTCGTTGGGGTTTGTTGTGATGTGATGCTCTGTGGAAACCCCTTCCCCCCTTTCTCAATCTTTCCACTGTGTATGTTACATAATCGTGGCTTGTGTCAAATCTGTCGCCTCATTTCCTTGCTATCCTTGATATTGAGACCTCAACTCTTTGTCTCAGACCCTGCCCCACCTTCTGTGATTTTTGACATCTGTATATGATATCCTGAAGCATTACTTCAGAAAATTCCCCACCTTCTGTGATTTTTCAAATATGTTCATATAATCCTGTAGCATTACTTCAGATAATTTCCCACCTTTTTGCCACTTGCCATCATACCCCAATAATTGGTCCGAGCTCATAACCCCATTTGAGCTCCATTTATTCCTTGTTCAAAAATTAGGTTCCACATAGGCTCAACTCCCTGTGTTCAGTGTAAGCTCAGTGTTCAACACCAGTGTTTAGTGTACAGATAGGCTAATCCACTGGTGTGAATCTTGCTTGAAAGGCAAAGATTTGTTGTTCTGCAATGCATTGCAGCTACCCCTCCATGCCTTTTTCAATGTTTACAATGTGTAAGCCACACCCTCATGCTGCGCTTCAGACCCTTCCCCACATTTCTTGGCTATCCTCATATGCATGCTACAATCTCAATTCTTTAAATCATCATGTTCCCCACCTTGTTTAATTTTCCTTTTCCTAGTTGCGGATAAGACACATCACCAAGCGGCTTTGTTGCACAGCCAATCTTCTTGGCATGTGGGGTCCAGCTGCAGGCTAAAGCTAAGACACACGGCTACCAACATCAAAAGATAAGAAAGCTTGCTTGAACAGAGATGATATGTTGTGCCATGATGCTTTGCGGCAACAACACCCTCCCGCCTTTTCCAATGTCTCTGATGTAAATGTTACACCCTGATGCTTTGCTTCAGATGTTTCTCCACATTTCTTGGCGCCCCTTATCTGCACATTGAAACCTCAATTTTTTGTTCCAGTCCTTTCCCCACCTGCTTTGATGCTTTTTGCTCCTAGTCCCCAGCAACTCAAATCACATTGAGGCTTTCTTGTGTTGGTCATGATCCCTGATGAATCAATTTCATCTGCCTGACTAAAAAAAAGACAAAAAAATTACCAAATGTGAGTAATCCACTCATAAATCAATCATCAGAAAGAAACAGACTAACTTGTTCATTCCTCACATCTTTCTCATCTTTTTCTCCCTTTTCTCCCAATCTACCTGCCCTTCATTCTCTTCATCCTCACTCTCTTCACTTTCCTCATCCTCCTGGGTCACTTTTTGTTTCTTTCTTCGCCTTCCCCTTCTCCTAAGCCTTTGTTATTCTTCAATTTCAATTCTTCTTCTATCAGAAACACTTTGACCAGTTTCAAAAGCTGCACCCTTGATCCCTTTCTCAGGTTCATCTTTTTGACATTCAAGTTCAAAGTTTTTGCCTTCAAGTTGTTCTTTGATTGCTCTATAATCCTTCTTCTCTACTATTTTGGGCTAAATCCCTTCATGTATTACTACTTCTTCTTTGCTATCCTGATTGTAACTGTCTGAATCATTTTCTTAATCACTTGGTCATCATCATCTAACAACATAGCTGCTTTTGAATTCGTTCTTGCATAGCAGAAAGGTTTCCATATCACGTGGGGGGGCCTGGGTTTTTGATTAGGGGCGCTCCAGGGCGCAACTTTCTGCTTCTTGAAAGGCGCGCCTTTGGTGGGGGCGTGGGGGCGCGCGCCCTGGACATGTTTTTTTTGGAAAGGACAAGACCTTTCATAATCATGGGTTTCTTCTGTTGGTTCTCAGATTGAAGATTCATTTCAATGTGAGACATCATTTTGAGAGTGGTGAGGTTCATATCTTGCTTTGTTTTCTGAGCAGAAATCCCAGCAAAAAGTCTTTTGACACCACCAGCAAGAGCTATGATCTTGAAGAGCTTCACAGAAAACCTCCTGAGATCGTGGGTGTTTGGTGTATCAGGTAGTCTCAATCAGTACTCATTGCTGATAATGCTAAAGCAAAATTGATTTTAGTACCAAATGTCATCATTTCAATTGTAGAAATTGAATGAACTCACATTTGGAACAAGGCCTCTGAGTTGTTGAGTAATTTTCACTTGTTTTTGCTGTACTCCCATTCCTGAGCAATCTTGACAATTTGGCAATTCACGCAATCAAGATAAAACTTGCCAGATTCAGTAACTCTCAAATAGGAAATCATGAGGTGGCTTGTAGGAAGCCACCTTGTTTTGAGTTTCACATTAGCCTACTTATATGACTAGGGCGCGTCACCCCCAAATTCTGCTCAGCAGGCGCGCCGGGGCGTACGCCCCGTGCGCTCCCCAGGCGTGCGCTTTTCACTGCACGCCCATCACGTGATTTCCATATCCAAATTGTTCATCATTGTGTAAATCTTTCCCATGATCATGAGAAGGATTTGGTGCCGTACCATTTGGTCTGAGTTGGTGAATCATAAGTTTGAATGTGTTTAAATTGTTCAATTCCCCGTATAATTCATGTTGTACAGATCTATCAGCTGATGAGTAAGCTGAATTGAGATATTGCCATTTAAAGTTTTTTTTTGTATGTGGTGAAACAATCACTAGAGTTAAATTTAGGCTGTTGCTATCTGCAGCCCACATGAAATCCATGTAGGTGCTGTCCAGATTATGTCTACACGGTTGTTTTCTGCCAAGAAGCGCCTACATTTATGATGTAGGCGCTTTTTCCTTTTTCAAATGACGCCTACAGGCTGAAAAAATAATGTAGGCGTCATTTGCGTACACCTACATTCTAAAAATAAAATGCAGGCGTAATTTGTCGTAATTCTTGAGCGCCCACATTCCCTTTTCTGTATGTTGGCGCTGGCAAATGAGCACCCGCCAAGTAGGCCCTTGGAAGATACGCCTACATAAATTTTTCAGCCCAAATAAGCGCCTACATGCAGTCTTGCATATGCAGGCGTTACAAATCCAGCGCCTGCACCACCTGACTGGTCTGATGGGTATTGAAGCACCATTTTGATGTCAAAATGAGGGTACCGGAGGACTGAACGGCCAGTTTCCACTTGAAATGAGAGCACCGGAGGACGGAAAAAGCAGTTTGGACTCAAAATGAGAGCACCGGAGGACGGAACAAGCAGTTTCCACTCGAAATGAGTGCACCAGAGGACGGAAAAAGCAGTTTGGACTCAAAATGAGAGCACCGGAGGACGGAACAAGCAGTTTCCACTCGAAATGAGTGCACCAGAGGACGGAAAAGACATCATTTAAATTTGATGAGAAGTTGATTTTACTGAAAGGTTTTAGTTGAATTGAAGATTTTATGAATGAAAACACGAGTTGATTGGCTTTAAAACTGATGAAGTTGATAGTTTTTTGAGGGGTGGAGTGTTGAAAATCTTCAAAGTCCCCGTTCTAGAACTGGAAAAGGGGGAAAAGAGCCAAGCGGCCTCTATATAAGTTGAAGTGGACGTGAAGTTTGACCAAACTTCCTGTAGGCGCGTTCCCACACGTCAATACAGATGTAGGCGCTCAGAA